TGCTCGGTATTCTTAGGCTCCGTATGACTGTCTTGTCATCGTCACGACGTATGCAATGACGCAGCACTTTGTAGGCCGCAGGAAGGTCTAGCTACCTGTTAATGGAGTTGGCATCTGAGTACCAAGCCTCAAGTGTAAGATGTCCTGTCCTTGACCTGCCCCTGCCTAAGACGGCTGCTCCTTGAAAATTAAAACTGTGGTCAGTTTTCCCCAATGTGAGCCGCAAGCTGTGAGTTTGGGTCTAGTCTCCGAGTTGCCAGTTTGTGCTCATGTAGGCGGGTCTGCAATTTACGTCCGGTTTCTCCAACGTAATTGCAGTCCCCATCGTTACAAAGTATAGACAACTGCTGAGGTTTCAGTGGGTGGCAGTATGTCTTTGGGTTGCATCAAACGGCGACGAATCGTTGCCTGGGGTCGATGGGCAATGCCTACCCTGGCGGGTTGCAGCAGTTGTGAAGCCGCCTCGGAGACTCCAGATCCTTTTAATGTAAGAAATAGCCCTCCAGACTTCGGGTTGTTCTTTTTGTGGCCGTCGTCTGTTGGCTCGGCGCTCGCTTTGCTTGATGAAGTAGCTTGGGTATCCGTTGGTTCGAAAGAGGTCATGAAGGTATTGTCGTTCATCTCTTTTGTCGGCTGGTGTGCTGCAGTGTGTTTCAACTCTTTGGAACAGAGTACGGACCCAGCTGCGTTTGTGACAGGGGGTGATTGCTGTTGAAGTGTATTATTTGTCTTGTGTTGGTGGCTTTTCTGAAAACGGTAGTTTGCAATTGCCCAGTTGCACAACGACGCACAAGGACATCGAGGAAGGGAAGTTGGTTTTTTGTTTCAGCTTCCATCGTGTATTGGATATTCGGGTCAACCAAGCTCAGTAATTCTTTGAGGTGTTCCACATCAGATGATTTGACAATGGCGAAAGTGTCATCGACGTTACGAGCCTAGAATTTTGGTTGATACTTGGTGAACGCCAAGTGTTCTGTTTGTTGAAGGACCACTTCAGCAATCAGCCCTGATATGGGGGAGCCCATAGGGGTGCCCTTGATTTGTTCATACATTTGTCCACCAAGGGTGATATATGTTTTTAGGCAAAACCGTAAGAACTCCATGAGACGTTCGATCTTCAGGGTATTGTCTCTCTCGTTGTAGCGTTCAGCCAGGAGTTGTCTCACAACGTCAATCGCCAGTTGTTGTGGAATGAAGGTGAAGAGTGAAACGACATCAAAAGATGCCATGAATTTATCTGACTCTAGTTTCAGATGTTTTAAACGTTCAAGGAACCGGTTAGTTGAAGCCACTGTTGTTGGCGAACCTTCTGCCAGAAACTTAAGACGAACAAACATCCATTTTGCCAAACCGTATGTAGGAGCACCACGTAGGGAGACGATGGGTCTAAGAGGTATGTTTGCGCTGTGTACCTTCGGCAGACCGTAAAAACGCGCGGTGGCAGAGTCAGAGGGTTTCATAAGAAACCAATTTCTAGCGTTCGCATCTCCTGAAATTTCACTTGTAGCTAGCGAGCCGTAAACACCCAGTCTGTGTCGCCCTACTACTGTCGGAAGTGACATTGGCTTTCCGGCAGAAGTCCTTGCTCGAGGTGTCCGTTGGGGCGATTGGGAAGGATGCGGCTGAAATTCTTTCCGGAGATATTGAGTAGCGAGATGACTCGGTGATGGTCACAAGCCTACCGGTTTCCTTTGCGCTTGCCGAGGCGAACAATGGTTGCGTCCTTGGAGCCCTGAGTAACTTGCCCGTTGCGCCTCATTTCCTGAAGTAGCGTCATGAGTTGGTTCATCAGGCGGTGGCCACCGTGGTTGTGTATTTCGGCTTTAAATCTTATAGGAGCCTGGTGCCTTCTCGCTGGAGATTTGTTGCATGGTGCGAATAGTTTCTGGAAGAGAGGGTGGGAGGTCCAGGTCGACGTAAATTTCCGCTTGGGGGAGTCGGTCGATGGCGGCGTCGGAGATTGTGGAAGGGCGATTGAAGACGCTTCCAAAATTCTGGGCCCAACGCTTAAAAATCTGCGATTCCTCTGCCCAAAACATTATCCATTGGAACTGAGAAGCGGCGCACTTTCGTTGGCCGGGGGCGACCGTAGATAGCCTTGATCACAGCGAAGAAACTCTTTGATTCGTTTTGGTCGGCGTAACTCTGGATCGCCTCGGCCTTACGAGCCATCCAAGCGTCCTGCATTTCTCGCAACCATTGCTGCGCTAGGCGGCAACATTGGTGAAAGGGCGTCTTGTTCGCATTGGTTTAACGGTCGACTCAGGTTCTGTGCAGCCTATTCTTGACGAACAGGCTACTGATGACCGCGTCGTTGTCGCTGGCTTTTTGCGCGACCGAGAACAGCCAGGGCTGTCGAATTAACGACGTCTCGTAGTTGACACCATCGAGTCTCCAGAGAGGCGTTTTCATCTCCAGCTGGCCGGTATTCCAGTCACTGGGTCAGATGATTGTTAAAACGCAAACAGTAAGCAGGCAAAGACAAAAAAGCAGTATTCGACCTAGCTGGGAGTCGCTTACCTTGCGGCCTCCTGCGGACTTGCAGACGGAACCTCATCTTGGAGATGACGAGGTGGCGGTCCGTTCAGCCATCGGTCTCGCAGATCGACCTGCTCACCAGCACGCCCTGTCAGTCTCGCCGCCGGACGAGATCATAGTTCAGCAGCTGCAAGCGCCACGATCGGGGGCACATCCAGGTGGCCTTCTCCCGGAACGGCGGGCGGAAGAATATGCTGATAAGCAGGAGACGGTGTTTACGTAGGTTCACAGGAGTAGGACGCCATTGTCGTTGCAACTGGCGATTCTGTGAGGATGCAGCACTCCCCTCCAGGCAGCATAATCTGTCCCGTCGCGGATATTGAAGTAACCAAGGACAGTCAACTTATCCGCCTTCAGCACAGACATCAGGATAGAGTGCAGGTTTTCGTAGAGCTTTGCATTCGCCTCCTCTGAGCCGGTCATTGTTGGAGCGTAGGAGCTGATGATAGTGGCGAATATACTTCCCCGGGGAGACAGTCGGAGGCTCATCAGGCGATCGTTGATGTCCTGCGGCAGACAGGGCAGTCATCCCGTGATGCCGTTCTGAATGGCAAAGGTGACACGTCACTCCCCCTTTGAACGACCGCTCCAGAGAAAGGTGTAGCCGGCACTCACCTCCTCCAGTTGGCCTTGTTCAGAGAACCGGGTCTCGCTGAGTGCAGCGATTTCTACCTTGTAGCACGCCAGTCATCGGGCCATTAGCACCGTTCTCAATTCCGCTCGGTTGCTTCTAAGACTCTCTAAAAGGAAACGAGCATCCCAGCCTACCAAAGTGGACGGACTCGTCCTAGCTGCCTGTGGGATGGGGGGAAGGGGGGTGGAAGAGAGAGAGAGATTGTGTCTTTTGGTTTCGAACGATGGTATACCAGTCTGCGGGCCACGGTATGCACGCAAATGTCATGAACCCAGTTTTGTCCAGGGTACCTTTTATAGTCCCCTCACCCTTGTGGGGGTAAGCAGTGATGTCCCTAAATAGGGCTGCTTGGTCGTGCCAGACGGATACGTCCACCACCATGGGCCAGTGGGTTGGCCTTGGTCGCCTACGTGATCGCATGTCGTCATCGCCGCAGGACTTTCAATCATGGGGAAGAAAGCTGAGTAGACAGTAGGAAAGTGAAGGACGGAGAAAAGGTGGGAAGAGGCAGAAGGGGACAGGTCTTACAGCTGCTGGGTCAGTAGCCTGCCGAGTGCTGAAATGCGAGGGTGAGGAGGCAAAGACAGCCAGCAGTACTCAGTTTACTTAGGGGGTCACTTATCTTGTGGCCTCCTGCAGGGTTGCAGACGGAGCCTCACCTTGGCGATGGTGATGCGATTATCCGTACGACCAGTGATGGTAGGAGGGGAGCAGAATCGACGTGTGTGGAGACGCACACACGGACACCCCCACATGGTTTAGCCCGCCGGTCGAGACGGATACTGACACGCGGCCGCTAGGCGGAGCCTGGCTTCTAGGAACCACAGGTGAGAGTTTGGTGCCAGTTAATGGACTCTAGGCGTAGTCAACGCCTGAAAGCAAGTGAATGACTTGACAGTTCGACCGTCGTCGACGATGTCCACCGTATGCTCCACGACAAGGTGAGAGTGGGCACGGTGACTTGTGCGTGAGTTCGTTTATAGTAGCAGCAGTCTTGCACAGCGACTTCCTACGACCACCACGTAGACTCGCAACTGGACATCCCAACACCACATTAACAGCAGTAGTAGTCACTAATTAAATCAACCTTGTTTTATATCTCCATCGTCTCGTCTCGTTCTGAATTAACTGAATACTTAATCGGGAGAAACTCGGTGTTCTTAACGGAACTCGAATCCGCAGCAGAAATTAAGCCATCACTCTGACCATCTCATTTACGGGGCATCGACAGCGAGAACTGTTTTGGGGTTCAACTGCATGGTCATCAATATTACTACCCTACTTAAGTTATATTTTCGGATCGAGAGCACACCTCAAAATTTCTGTCAACTTTACATAAGATGTCTAATCTGCTGTACATGTCCAGTCTGCTGTAACATATGGAATCCAATAGTTGTATACAGTAGGCCGACTTCCCGACCAGATGAATACGACAAAAATGAACTAAATTGTTCTTCAACAAGTTCAAACAGTCCAGTCGACCATAAAATAGTGGAAAAGGCGGACGACGTGACAGAGATGGTTGGGCTTTATCAAATCCTGCACGCTAACTCCTTATTCGCCCTACAATGTCAATGAGGCTGGGGGCATTGTATGCCATAGAACTTGGAAATAAAATATGTCTCCTAGTTGACCATTCTGAAAGTTCTTTCTCATGCTGAAAAGCGTTTCAGTCTCCATTTCCCTCGAAGTAAGAACCCGTGATGTGGTGAGTCTGTTAAATTAAATTGCGGGAAATCAGCGGAATTGACAACGTAAAGGAAACAATAGCTGGACAAAATGCACAGGGGTTTGCAGTCGTTTTGCCAAAAAGTGTCCAGATGGAAATTTATCGCCTCGCGTTGATGATATCAACAAATTCGGGTTTCAGGGAAGCACCGCCAACCAAGAAACCATCAACATCCGGCTGACTTCCAAGTTCCTTTGCATTACCGGCGTTCACCGAACCTAGGTTTTCAGAGAACAGAGCAAACAAGAACTGTCAACAAGAATAAGGCGGGTGGGGGTGCACGATATCCAGATAATCCCCTGATGATAACTTCGTCTGCGTAAAATGCAAGGCAGTCAGGGTTTACCAGCCTGTCAACATTTTAAAAAAGCAGCTGATAGATGATAATATACTAATTTCCTCTGCACGCTACGAACAAAGGTAAATTTCACTGACAAAAAGACTCTAGAGGGAAGTTGAACGGAAGGCTGGGTCAGACGACAATGGAAAAAGTCACTCACCTCCATACAGAATCCTGACCTTAGTAGCGACACTGGGGTCAACATGGTCACGAATCCAATCACGAACGGCCTTGTGAACTTCTTGTGCCTGAGCGGGGGTGGCCGTCTTCCCGGTGCCAATAGCCCAAACAGGTTCGTAAGCGATGACAACACGATCCCACTGGGCTCCACTTATATTCTCTGATAAGGGAGACAATGCAGGGGATCAGATGAGATTGGGGAAATTGGAAGCGATCTTAGCTGGCCCTTGTTTTGCAAAACAACTTTCTCTTGCAATAGAAAAACCGGGGTCGAGAAACCACGAAAGGTGGGTCAGAACCCCGCAGGGTGGCAGAGTTAATAAGAATAAACCTTGGAAGTAAAATCTTACGAATTAACGATGGAAAAGAGTAGACACTTCCTAGGAAGCAGAACGCAACTATAGCTGTTAGTTGCATAAGGCAAAAAACAGTTAAGGGGAGGGATGTGTATCCAAAATACGCCAAACTGTCCACGAGGAATTAACCGCAAGTTCGAGTTTTCAAAACACCGCTCGAGTCGACATGAGGAGAAATGCCTGAAGTGCAATGAATGAAGATGTAGGCGAATTTCGAGAGAAGCTATGGACCACGAGCGAGAAGACACTGATTTGACTCAACCCAAAAAGGCCTGACAATGCAAGCAGACTGGACTGGAGTTGAAGCAACCACTGGGAGTAGGGGCAGCTGTGGGCATGGAACGACAGAAACGTATGACTCCTTCTGAATACAAGGATTATGGAATACTCTGTATTTTGGTCGAGAGTACGAGCGCGGAGGGGAGATCTAAACAAACTTTAAACAGCAGCTGTCGTAGTCTTCTCTGTCCTAGTTAGCTCACCATAATAATATGGCCCATATAGTGAAATCGGAGTTTGTCGGGTCCACTTACATGTTGCTGCTAAAAGTCATGGCGCCCGAGGCGCATGAATGCAAACTAGGACTTAGAAGAATGTATTGAGAACAGCCCTATATCCCCTGTCCAACTAAGAGCTTGCTAGGGAAGGCATGAGATAATCACGGGACAGATAAATAAACGAGTATTTACTGAAACGAAATCCTATCTCCATCCCCATAGTCAGATTATGAGAATTCTGCCCAACCGCTACTTTTGAGTGTAAGTTGCAAGCTTTCTCGCCGAGACTCTAAATTTGGCCATACAGACAAGGTAATTTTCACAAGATTATGGCTTGCGGAAGTGTTCACATCACAGATCGACCGACCAAAAATGAGGATGGCGCTCGTCGCTCGAGAACTGGCACGTCACAAGGTGGACATCGCTGCTATCAGCGAGACACGACTCTCCGGACAGGGTCAGCTGGAGGACATGGGTGCCGACTGCATTTTCTTCTGGAGCCTGACCAAGCGACGCTGGCGTCGCCTTTGTCACCCAAAACGACATCGTTAGACAATCGCCCCGTCCACTGTAGGGCATTAGCGACCGCCTCATGACCTACGCCTGCCTCTTCGGGGAGCCAAATTTGCCACCGTCATCAGGGCCAACGCATCCTAAATGAATAATTACATCGAGATAAAGAACAAGTTCTACAAAAATCTGTACGCCTTTCTGGTGACCATGCTGATGGCGCGCAAGCTAACTCCATTCGGTGACATCAATGCTCGTGTCGGAACAGGCCATGATGACTTGGAGGGATTGCTGGGTCCCCACAGAATCGGGGTCTGCAACGACAACAGCCCCCTTCTGCAGACTTACGCAGAGCGCTGCCTACTCACCAATACTTTCTTCCGCCTTCCAGCGCCAGAGGCTACTTAAATATGCCCATGTTTGCGGCGCCGACAACTGTTGGATTACGTTCTTGTCTGGAGGCGAGATTAACAGGGCGTGCTTGTGGCAAAGGCGACCTGCGACACCGATGGCTGAACAATGTCCGTTTCGTCATCTTGAAGGTGAGGTTCTGACTGAGATTTCGCAATGGTCCATAAGGTAAGTGACCGCCAGGTAGGTTAAGTACTGTTCTGTAGAATGCGCTCGATGTCTGCCTAGATTTTAACAGTCAACTGACTCATTGTCTGAAAGAACAGCAGACTTCAAAAGACAACTTCAACGTGGAGATAAATGGTGTCAACAGCGGAGCTCAGTCCATTCAACTGCCATGGATGCTTTGGACCGTCCACGACGCTAACACCAGGACTGATTCGATAACAATGAGAAATCACCAATCGTTTCCCAGGAAAAAATAGGCTGCCCAAGGCCTGCATGAGCCGCGTGGTTGGCGCAAAAAAGGTTCCCTTCTGCCATCCTCGACGCCCGGTTCAGCAGCGACTGAGGAAGATGAGGAACGACTGGATAAACCGCAAGGCTATGGAAAGGCGATGTGACGTGCACAGCAAATACATTGGAATTTCTTCGCTCCCATCAGAACAATCTACGGTCTTCATTCCAAAACATCCAAACCACTGCTCAGCTCCAACATAACAACGCCGCACGTGGAGAAATCGCTGATTCTGAAGCATTGGGCAGAGCACTACAGAACCACACCCAATCACACACCCGCAGTCTCCAGTGACGCCGTCGACAGGTTTTCCGAAGTGGAAATCAACACAGACCTGAACCGTCCGCATTCCTACATAGAAACAACCAGAGTCGAGCAACAGCTCTCCAAAGGGAAAGCAGCGGGACCCGACACAATCCTGGTCGAGGTCTACAGTCACGACCTCCCTCGCCTGGTGGACAAACTTATAGCACTCAGAGGGTACGGCGACAGAGGCAAGTTCCTCGGGGCTTTAAGGACGCCATTATCGTACAATTTTATAAGCACACGGGCAACCGTCAAGTTTGTGGAAACCATCGAGACACTTTCCTCCTCAACAGCGCAGAGAAAATTCTTGCCCCTGTCCTCCAAAATCGCCCGAACACCCACTCGGAAAAAGAACTCTTAAAAAGCCTATGTGAATTCCGAAGAAGTCGCAGTATCGTTACCATCTGCCAACCATAAGAAAAGGGCCAGAAAATGCGTAGAAGTCTGTAGACTACTTTCGCAGACCTGACAAAGGCGATGGAATCTGGAGGATCCTGCTAAAATTTGGATGTCCGGAGCACTTCAGACATACGGTACTCCATTTGCGCGGCGGAATGATGACTCATGACACGGAAAATGAAGCAGTGTCAGAAGCACTTACAGTGGTCAATGGGGCGAGGTAAGGTTGTGTACTCGGCGTCACTCTCTTTAGTCTCATGTTGTCCCCCATGCTGATAGACGCCTGCCATGAGAAGCGGCCAAAAGTCAACATCCCCTCCTGATTCAACGGAAAACTGCCCAACGCACGGCGCATGTAATCACGCCCAAGAATATTCCAGACCAACACCCAAAACCCTATGTTCGCGGATGAATATGCACTAAATAAAGTGAAGAGCGCGGCCATGTAGGAGAGCAAAAACCTCTTCGCATTCCGTGGCGTCAAAACCAGTGTTGACTATCAAGGCGGAGAGGACGGTGGTCATGACTCAGTCGGCGCCAGATACGGACTTCAAACAACCTCACATTACTGTCAATGAAGTTCAAATCATTACTGTGGACAAATTGGAATATACAGACAGCCCGATCCAACGGAATGTCAGGACCAATGGCATTCCGGATCTTCAAAGTCAGCCAAACACTTGGTCTGCTACAGGCTTTGGCCTGAAACCACCGCAGACTTCAAGTCAACACCAAAATTAAGGTGTGTGTGGCGGTGGTCTTGCGACACTGCACAACGGGCGAAGACATGGAGAGTTTACGCCCACCAAGCGAGGGATCTAAATTACTTTCACGCCAGATGCCTCCCAAGAATATAAAAAACGAGATAGTAGGATAGGATTCTGGACACTGAAGACTTAGAACTTACCGGAATTCCCAACATCTACGGCAATTATAACTGATCTGGAGTGCCCACTTGAGGAGGACGAATGACAGGTGCTGACCCAAGCGATTCTTCTAAGGCTATGACGTTTGGGACGCTCGGAGATAAAGAGGGCAAAAAGGAGCTAGGATATCCTGACAACCACGAGAATATGCAAATCAGTCGGGGAACAAAGGAAGACTTGGCTCAGAATCGACCACTGACAACGCTCCCGATATTCCGCCATCCATCGCCACCATCACCGTAGCTCCAAACATCAAAACTTGTCCCCATTGGGACATGACGTGCACACAACGCATGGCCTGGTCGGTCACTTGGAAATCTGTCGCACTGCAACTGGCGACTCAGTACTAGGAACACCAACATATACCTGGCGCACTCATTACAAATGGCCATACCGCCCAGGCATATTCATCACTGTGTCGGCCTACACACCCACATGTTCATCCACGACATCAGTATTCACCGCAATGTCAAAACTTCAAACCCACCACGAACACCCGAAAACCCTCAACCACCATTGGTGATGTCGCCAATAGCAGTATCGTCACAACCACCACCTCCATAACCACCAACTTACCCTGCGCATCAAGCCTAGGAGGGTTAGGGAGGGGAGAGTGAGGCAGAAGCTGCGCTAGTCTGCCATCTCCATAAACTGATCTGCACCCAATTCATCATCCCTGCGCCCATCATGCTGAAGCACACGGCGGACACCATCTTCCGTGGCAGTTAAACTGTCAATATTTAGAAGAATACAAATCGGTGGGATCCCGTTTTATTGGCACACCCACGAATGTTTTAGACAGAACGTTTACTTTAAAAGCAACTAACAAAGACGGCGAGACCCCGCATACCGTAACAATCATTTGAATCCTACAGCATCACTGAGCAGATAGGTGGGTTAAAATACTTGTTTGGTAGACAGCTAGAGGGTGCGTGGACAATGTCGATGTTTAAAAACGTCTGTAAGCTGCTGAAGTCCTTTTGTACTTAAAAACTCACCACTCACGACTAGACGATCGATTTTTCCCGGGGAGAAAAATGTTCCCCCATTTAGGCAAGCGGATAATAATATCCCGACGCAATGGTTATGACCTACTTTGAAGGCTTGAAGCGCGATTGATATGCACTGGCCAAAAGCCATAAATAACTCAATTAAAAACTTAGCGTCACATTAGTGTAATGATAAAGCGCTTGACGCCGGTTGTAGGGTGGCATGTTAAAAATTTGTAAATATTGTCCATCAACGTAATAAATGCAAAAAAGACAGAGTTGTTTGAAAATATATGTAAACAGACGGGTTTGGGTTTACAGCGGAAACCAATCTGCACTTAAAAGGCGTTTGCAACTATCTTTTAAAAAGGACGTACTGGCGAGGGCTTCCATTTGTTTGAAGCAGACATCATTGGTTTTCCCGGCCTCACGTTCCTCCAAAACTTCGCCAATACATGGAATTACGCTAAGGCCTACTTCCAAAGCATGTTTCACTTTTTCGCCAATAAGCTTAGAAAAGCAAACAGAGGCAAAGGCACAGTTACTAACAGTGTGGGCAATTCAGTGAATAGGCGCAGAAGCTGAGAAAATGGACTGATAAACCCTCAGATGCCGAAATGGTAAATTACCCAAGTACACAAAAGCCGGTAATTCTAAGAGTACTGGACCATTAAATAATGTTTGCAGAACAACTAGTTTAGAACAGTAAAAACGCAAATTGCAAAAAAATTTTATGTTGAAACTTCTGGCGTAATCTTCGCCTACAAGTACCGCGGGGCTTTCGCCGTAGCAAAAAGCAGCTGATGTTTCCGACAATTCTATATTTCTTTGCAGTTATTAACGTAGAAAAAGAAGGTTAAAACCGAATCGGTGGTCCCCTCCTTTGATACTTATAACCTGTGATTCCTGTGAGCACTGTAAATGCAAAAGGCCGGCGTGATCGCTTTCAGATTCATTTTTGTCAATTTATATTCTACATATTTTAACGAAGTTCCAGTGTTCTAATTAAAAGCTGATTGCACATTAAGGATTATCAATAAAAAAGCCAAATACTACCTGGATGATTTTTAAATCATAATGGCTGTAAGGAGAGACGGAAAAACACTAGAGGCATTTCGTGCCATAAGACCGACAACTTCGTCAAAAAAGTTTACAACCAACCTCGTCAGATTCGCCGAAAATGTGACGGCGCTCAGAGTGCCCCAATATTACCCACTGGCAACCGCAATCCTTAATCATAGCAGGGCTACAATAGAAATGGAAAAAACGGATGCAACTTTAATAAACCTAAGGCATATCGCGACATACTATCAAGCGCAAAAGCTCACGTTACAAGTCAATCTATCTTCTGAGCCTCCGTATAACTTCTGTTACTAAGAAAAACTTATTAGGACTGAATAGAAGCCTTGTGATCGTAAAAATTTACAAAATTTTGAACGAAGTTCACATTTCTGAGAAAGTCTAGATTAATGGCGACTGAGGCCGGAAGGCAAAACGTGTAAAAGCTTCTTCATGCGTGACAGACAAAACAAAGTTTGCGCTGGATAAATCTAGGAAGGAACTGTTGTGAATGTCCTTTGGTGTGATAACGGTTTGCTAATACTCCAAAAAACCTTTCGCTTCAGAAGGCTGTGAAAACCCTTGCAGTACTCTGATTCACTTAAACATTATAAGAAAAAATGCACTTTTATGAAATGGAAATTCTTCTAAAACCAGGAGGCAATGCCGTAGTTAAGGACATTATTTTCCTCAGAAACTGCAGAGGCACCGCAGCAAACCGACGGTGGTTTAGGAGGTAAACCTGGTCCCTGTATTAGATTTTAAACGCTTTTAACAATAAAGTCAAGACTGCCTTCACTTTAAGTCAACACACTGTCTATATATGCGGTTGCCAAAACTACCCTACGGGCAGATAAATTATTCGAGAGGAGATTTCGGTGTCCTTTCCTGTAGAATACTCACAACAAACCATGTGTGTAAGCTAGCTGCAAGATTGTGACTTTATATATCCAAAACATCTATGGTAACAACCACGCGCTCTTGATACAAGCGACAGTTTGTCTTCAAAGTGTGTGAAACTCCAGCTGGAGCTTTATAAAGCCAGCATACCTGATTTCTCCAGTGAAGGCGCCACTCGCGACCTTGTAACAGTTTTGCGCTGCGATTTTAATGCCTGCACGTGCTTTTTCCTGCGCATACTTTAAGAAGCACGCGGGAGCTCCGAGTACAATTTCTAATTGTATATACCATTAAATATGGGGTTTCATTTACCAGCGTTGGGATCGAGGTCAGCAGAGTTCAGTTTATTGAGGATATTATCTATTTCACTATGACTCCCATTCATTTTCCAGTTGCCTCCAACGAATAACTTACGTTGACTCATTTTTATGCGTAACTGTGTAGGACTGCCCCTTGAGCGGTGTCTGCTTGCGGTTTCGAAATCGCTGACGCTGATGCGAATAGGGTTCGAAAGTTTAAAACAAAATTCTCCAGTGAAAAAATAATGGAAACTAACTTAATCAAAAAACATGGCCTTAATCATCACGAAAATGCTTTTTGAAAACAAATTTATACCTTTGCATATTAGGAGGGTATTTACAGACGCGGATGGCAAGAGCCGATTACTCCCAGAACGAATGTTTCGGCGCTCAGTGTGCCGTGGATAGCTCACTGCGTTCCCTATATCGGATAACTTGTTGAATGCACATGTGGTGCAGCTGAGCCACTATCGGAAGGAGGTGCAGGGAATAACATTATCCTGGCAGTGAAATCAAATCTGTCAGCGGATACTGACCTTTGCGTATAAATAGTCAGCGCATTGACCAGAGGGGCAGAAAACTTTTTCTGTTAAAAAAGGTTTTGCTTCTGCGAAGAAAACTGAATGACCATTACTTTATTTGTGATTCTATCTACCGGCCACAAGTCTTACAGGACGTATGGACTACAGATCTAAAAATGACATCCTTTCTATTAATCCACATGGAAGATGTCTTTTTCGGGTTGCTCGCACTAGTACCTTTGTCATTGGGAGAGTCAAGTAGGAATAGTGCGTATATATCACTTTCGTTGGTTTAATTTATTATTTGTGAAATTGCAGACTAACATTATCAGTAAAAGTTGAAACTTTACCTCAGCGTGAACCTTAGTATGCAGATGTGCATCCCGTCGCTCTAGCTTTGATTAAGCTCAGTGGACTCTTTAGAAAAGGGCAATGGAGCTTAGTGGGCTCTTTAGAAAAGGGCAATTGAGCGAACATATTTCAAACGTTATTTGGATGCCCTGTACTAGAGAATAATGCGACATACGAAGGCTTATTGCGCATAGGCTGATGGCAACCACATAAATATGGTTAACAGTCGAGTTTCTCCCAAAAATTCGAAGAATAACCTTTGAAATGCTGATAGTGGAGTAGGAAGGCAACGTAGGTATACATAATGTTAGTGGAAAGTTGATCTGCCTTGGAATACATAGGACGTTACATTGATCGAGGTTAAGCTTTGGAATAAATCTTGACAGATTTGTGTTCCGAAATGAAATAGGACGATGAGATATTTGGACATTTCCTCCTTCTCTGGAAATTTATGTTTTGCTTCGGTAATCCTTCCGCAAAATAGGAAAGCCTTAGTCAGATGTGTATATAATCCTCCTTGTTCCTCCGGAAATGAAAGCCAACGTTGTGAACACTTTGAAAAAATTGCAGAAACTTCTTTCGATGTCAAGATAATCGTAGGCGATTTTAATTTGCCACAAATTGACTGGCACACACATACTTCTCCTCCTAAATTCCAGAAGCTGCTTGACACAATTTACTTTTCAAACCTGACTCAATTAGTTCACTCTTCGACCAGAAACGATAGTGTTTTAGACTTAATTTTTACTAAGGGCACCTTCCCTTTATCTATGGATTTTTATCATGACCTCTTTGCAAGTGATCATGCATTTATTCATTGTCGCCTTCCAGTTGCCATTTCCGCAAAGCCAACAGTTCAACGTAGTATTTTTGACTTTGCTAATGTTAATAAGGATTTAGTAAATAACTTTACATGCACTCTTGATTGGCACAATATTTTTTCAAATAATGATCTAAATTTTGTCAACAATTTATTACAATGCGTAACAGAAGGTCTTCTTGACCTTATTCCTCGGAAGATGTTCAAATCGAGTGCTAATTCCACCGCCATCCCACACTTTCTTAAAAACAGACTTAAAAAGTTACGGAAGCAGTTTAAAGATCCTTCTGTGAGCTCATTATCAGTTCATCTAAGAATCGTTGAAATATTTGAACTAGCTTCGAAAATGATGCTCGAGCGAGATAGGCGTATAGAGTCTTTAGCTATTAATGACGTGAATTCTTCTAAATCAGTTGCTCAGATCTTCCGTCATAGATCATCTGCTAAGTCCCACCAAGTCATTCCGCCCTTGCTTAGTGCAAGTGATGCCTTCATTACAGAGGAGTCAGGCAAAGCAGAAATTTTAAATTCGTTTTTTGCCAAGCATTTCACCATTGAAACTGATCCGATCCCTTTAATTCCTTCGTTGTCTGATGCTTCTCTGAGCTTCATTAACTTTTCTCCTGAATGTATTCAAAAACTGATAAGCCATCTTCCTAACTCTCACTCAGTAGGTACGGACAATATCCCAAACTCTTTGATAAAACAGCTAAGAGATTTTCCTCCTCTGCTTAGCAAAATCTTTTCAGTATTTCTCGTAAATGGCTTCTTCCCTGACTATTGGAAAACTTCTATTATTATTCCAGTATTTAAGTCTGGCTGTCGTTCTGACGTACAGAACTATCGAGGTGTCCAAAAAACACCTTCTCTCGCCAAAATCTTCGGAAAAGTTATCGCCGTAGAAATTAGCGAATTTTGCATAGCCAATCAAGTTATTAGCCCTTCCCAGCATGGTTTTTTACCAGAACGCTTTTGTGAAACATGTCATCTGTCGTTTCTCAATCTACTTACCTCTCTTCGTAATGACAATCTATCAGTTGTCGTTATTTATTTTGATCTTAGTAAAGCCTTTGATAAAGTGCCACATAAAAGACTCTTGGTTAAATTGGAAGCTATGGGAATTCGCAGTCCACTAATGGACTTTATCAGGTCACACCTGTCTAATCGTAAACAAAAGGTTTTGGTGGGATCTTCACTTTCCAGTGAAAGTCCTATTGTGAGCGGTGTCCTACAAGGTACCGTTTTTGGTCCTCTTTTGTTCTTGCTTCACATAAATGATATTTCAGCCGCAGTTAAACATTCTCAATCATTTATTTATGCCGATGATCTCAAATGTATATATTCTTTCAATAAATCTACGAGTCTTCATTGCCTGGAGCAAATCCATGCTGACTTGCTTGCCCTCTCAGCTTGGAGCTCAAAATGGCTAATGGAATTCTCTCCGTCTAAATGTCGTTATATGTGTTTTGGACCTGATAGGCTACCCCAACCTGTGGTCTTTCAAGGAACACCTATGACTGAATGTACCACCATCAAGGATTTAGGTTTAAGCTACACTAGTAATCTTGATCTCTCGCCGCACGCTGACAGAATTACAGCCAAAGCTGCCCAGATTTGTGGCTTTATTTCTTACAATTTCTATCTTCCTGAAATTAAATTAAGGCTCTATCGTATGTTTGTACTTCCCATTCTCGAGTATTGTTGCCCATTCTTTGGTTTGATGAATGAAGCCAGTCGTTTAAAAATTGAAAATGTCCAAAGGCGTTTTTCAAAAAAACTTTTAGATAGGGAACATCCCAATATCTCCTACTCAGATAGATTTCAGCTAATTAACCTAACATTTTTATGGGTTCGAAGACTAGAAGCGGGCCTCTGTCTCCTCTTTCGCATTAATCATAGTTTAAATTTTCCTCGGATTTCAACACTTACCCCTAGTAGTCGCCCATACAATCTTCGCAACTCGTCTCTAATTATACGTCTTCCAGCGTCCTCCACCTCTAAGCGCTCCCTTTTTTCGCTTCCAGGTATACTTTCCTCTGGAATAACCTTCCAATAAATATAAGATCTTCAGAAAATCTACACACCTTTAAGAGAAGGCTACGCCTTTATCTGAATACTGGCTCGATCAAACTTTTATTTTCCTCATCCTTCCTAGACAACTTTTTCTATGACACTGAGAAGGGCCACCGGGAATTTAGCATGCCGCTATTAAATTTCCGTATCTGTTCACGTTTCCTTCCTTTATGAGTAGTCTCGCTACCTAAGATACCTCACCAGAAATGTTAATTATTCCAATTTTTTAGTTCATGCATCGTGCCCTCACAGAATGCGCTCCATTGACGCTCTTGGCGAAGCCTTCTGTATTCGCCATATACTAGTAGTTTGGTCGCATCTCCCTTCCCCCATGTTCGGATGGACTCGGCTGAATGAAACCGACCGCATCTGGGTTCTTGTCGCCTCGAGACTGGTTGTCGTCGTACCCTTACTGAATGCGCTCCATCGGCGGTCTTGACAAAGCCTTCTATATTCGACATATACTAGTAGTTTGGTCGCATCTCCCTTCCCCCATGTTCGGATGGACTCGGTTGAATGAAACCGACCGCATCTGGGTTCTTGTCGCCTCGAGACTGGTTGTCATCGTGCCCTTACAGAATGCGCTCCTTCGGCGGTCTGGACAAAGCCTTCTATATTCGCCATATACTAGTAGTCTAGTCGCTTCTCCCTTCCCCCATGTTCGGATGGACTCGGTTGAATGAAACCGACCGCATCTGGGTTCCTATCGCCTCGGGACTGATCTTCATGATGCCCTCACTGAATGCGCTCCATCGATGCTCTTGGTGAAGCCTTCTATATTCGCCATATACTAGTAATCTGGTCGCATCTCCTTTGCCCTATCCTCGGATGGACTCTGATGAATGTAACAGACCGCATCTGGGTTCTTGTCGCCTCGAGACTTGTTGTCATCGTGCCCTTACAGAATGCGCTCCTTCGGCGGTCTTGACAAAGCCTTCTATATTCGCCATATACTAGTAGTCTGGTCGCATCTCCCCCCATGCTCGGATGGACTCGGTTGAATGAAACTGACCGCATCTGGGTTCCTATCGGCTTGAGACTGGTTTTCAATTTCGGCACTTATTTTTCTTATTCAAGGCGATACAGGCCAGTCCTGACCGACCCGCCTACGTACCATTTTATGAAATCCGTTACGCAATGCCATATACAGCTGACATTTATTTCGGCCATGTTGATGTCGGACTATATTCCATTTTGTACCGCCACATGCAGGCCAGTCCTCCCTGTTTTTTTCTGATGCTATTTTTCTGAGGGTTTTTTTTCTCCTGTTAAATTACTACAATCATATTTAAATTTTGCTTTGGAGTTTTTTTTTCACCCCTCGTTTTTTTCATTTTTTTTTCATTTTCATTTTGCTTAACGGACTTCTAATCTCAAAAACTATGCATTGCACTTTGTGCAGATTTTGCCTACATCGTCTAAAATTTGCATGTAAATTTATTTTTACTTGCTTTGATGGGACCCCGACGGGTCTTTAATAAAAATAATTGAATTGAATTGAATTGAATATTGAACTCGTCCCTTGACACTCACGTCCCCCCAAATTACTCTATTCTGCATGGTTTTTCTGTTCACTGAGGTTGCAAATAGAATACTCAGGGGCTCACGTGTGCTGCCCTCAATAAATTGGGCTGAATAACGTTGGAGTTAGACCAATTAATCTTTGAAATTATGAAATGAGTGAAAGTCATTTTCCGAAAAAAGATGTTATAGTGGTTTGAGCCAATAATTAGAAATAAATATTTTCGGGCAAATATTTATTTACCAACGGGAATAATATAACTTTCCCCGATATTCATTAAATTCTTGGGGTTTTCTTGTTCTTGCGAAAGCATGTTTCCAAAATGGTAGGAATGCTTGTCCTGTTAAAGTTCTTGTTGGAGTCTAGTCCCTATTATCAACTAGAAATTATATTTCAATTTTAGGCACATTAGCTACTTGCATTTGGAGAGGAGGACAAAACTCCCCGAGCTTTGGTAACTGTGTGTTTCCATACCTATGTGCTGCACTAGGATATCTGGTTTTCGAAACATGAATGGTCATACACAGCCGTTATAAAGATAAGCTACGGGAGCTAGGTCCGCTATATGGCAGTTCGACCGCTGCGACCGACGGTATCTCCCGTATACTTCACTGCAGATTGAGGGCAGGTACGGTGACTTACGCATTATTTATTTTATAGTGACAGCAGACTTTCAACTCATCTACTTCGCTCTCTCGTCCTCCCCACCTGGACCCGGTGCCAAGACATAGTTAATAAGACCAAAGGCGGGAGATGGCAGAGGCGGCTGGTGCGACCATAGTCTGCTCGGATTCCATGGAGTGCGAGTGCAATATGGGCCACATTAAGACGGAGTCACTGCAGCATGACACTCATTTCGCCTTTCAGTTGACTGCGAGGCCTGAGCTGGGGCGTCATTTGACAACTTTCCGCGCCATGGCACTTGGCGCACCATGATATTCTCAGCCTCGGATCACTCATGCAGCAGAAAGAGGAGCCGAAAAGCACATTTCTGACTTTGTGAGAGGGGTCGGTGTTGTGGGGTTTTTGAGGGTTGGATGCGTCATGCTTGTGTTGGTGTGGAAATATTTGGTGATATGGCTGAGTCTGCGGTGATTTACCACAGGTTTTCATGAATTCGCAAGTGGCCGAAGTGGCCTCTATGGTGGCTGAATTTGCAAGTACAATGTGGGCATTTAAGGCAAGTGCGTCTGGTATACGTTGGTGCTTCAGGTAGTGGTTCACCATTCTTCATAAAATTCATTCACAAGTGACCGACCAGGGGGTTGTGTACGTCTTCGCGGAAATTGTGGTAATAATAATAGGCTGGAGATGGAAGTGGCCGACGGCAGTGCGGGCCGGGGATTCAAAGCAACGTTGGTGGAGGTGGGCGTCGCCGTCGTCGACGTGGAGGTTGGAGCAGGCGCGATCGTGGGGGTATAAATTGCGGCTGTCGGGATTTTAGTGCCTTGGGCCCAAAGATGACCGACAAGGCGGATCCGCACAGGAAATGTTCATCGTCAACGCGGAAACGTTTGGTCGGGTTCAGTTCAGTTCAGTTTACTGAGGGAAATAGGCTTAAGCCTTTGTGCACCCCATTTGCAACGTAAATATGTGTAGTATACAAAAAATGTTCTGGTTTGAAATAGTTTAAACGAGCACTTAATGGTAGGACAAAATGTGAACGAGTTACAGGAGGTGAGTCCGATCTCTCATCGATCTTGGTCATTTCTGAACACAAATATTTTGAGATATTTTAAAACTTGACGAAGTTGAGGATGAAGATGGTGACATCACAACATCTGCGGGAAGGGCATTCCATGGTCAAACCACACCAACAGAGAAGGAGAACTTCCGCACATCCACCCTTGCTTGCTGAGTGCGCAGTTTTAACGGGTGACCTCGGAGATTGGTCGTGGTAGCAAATTCAAAAAAGTCCTCAAAGGCCCGAGTGCAATCCAACCCCTTTACAATGCGGAATACTTGCAAGAGACCCCCACGAAGTTGCCTGCAAATAAAAGGCAAGTGGTTCAGATTTACTAGGCGGGTTGCATAAGGAAAGGAGCTTTGACCCCTAACCCTCTTCGTGGCTCTCCTCTGGACTCTTTCGAGGCAGTTTTGATCCACAACCGCCCACGGCCTTCAGGCTTGTATGCCGTACTCCAAATACGGCCAGACGAATGTTCCGAATGTCTTTGTGAAAGCATCTTCGTAGAAGTCCATAAACACACGCTTGATGGCGTACAGTACGGACATTGCGCTTCTTGCCAAGCTCGAACAGTGGACGGATAGTTTTAGGGAACTCGTCGTTAGCACAAGGAGGGCCTTCTGGTCTTGAACCTCTTGTAGGTCTGCACCACCCAGAAAGTAGTTTTTTGTGCTGGCGGATCTGGCTGTGTTGCCTATTCGAAGTATGCTTCATTTACCCACGTTGAACCGCAGGAGCCAACGGTTTGACCAATTCTCCAACCGATTCAGGTTCATCTGCAATCTTTCGTCGTCGGCAGGACCTCGAATCACACTCCACAACTTCATGTCATCGGCAAACATTGCTACTTCGCAGTCTAAAGCTCTTGCAGCATCGTCCACGTAAATAAAGAACAAAATGGGTCCCAGAACTGAACCCTGGGGGACACCACTCTCGACCATAGCAGGATTTGATTTCCCTCGACCGATGCACACAACCTGGTGTCGATGCAAAAGGAAGTTTTCGATCCATTTAGGGAAGTTGCCACCGATCCATATTTTTTAAGTTTATGTAAAAGCGTCCGGTATGGTACAGTGTCGAACGCCTTCTGGAAGTCGATGAAGGCTGTGTGGACCGCGTGTCTGCCGGCGAGAGCACGGGTCCTGTTTTGGAGAGATTGCAGCTAGTTTGTCGTGCAGGATCTTCCTTTTAGGAACCCATGTTGGCATTTCGATAGCAGGCCATGAACTTCCAGGAATTTCATCAGTTCACTCTTTACGATCCTTTCCATAACTTTGCAGGGAATGCATGTCAAGCTTATGAGCCTGTAATTTGTCGTCGCTGCCCTGTTACCTCCTTTGTGTAGCGGAGTAATATGCGCCAGCTTTCAATCGATAGGAAGTGTTTCAGTGTCAAATGACGTTTGAAAGAGCATCGACAAAGATACAGAAAGCCCACTGGCAAGTTCCTTGTGAAGTTAGGATGGAATCTCGTCTGGTCCTGGCGACTTCGATTCGTTCAATGCCTCTTATTCTCTTCGGACAATGCCTTCTGAGAAGAGTATATCACTGACGCATGGGGTCGGCAGTTCTTCTGTAGAGGGAAGCAGGAACGTTGCCTCGCTTGTGTAGATTGATTGGAAAAACTGTGAAAAATACGCAGCTTTATCCCTACTATCAGCAATCTCAACGCCATCAGTAGTACTTATTAAGGGGATTTGATGCCTGTTCCATGTATTTCGTTGGAGGTAACTGTAGAGTAATTTTGGGTTCTGCGTCGCCTTTTGTAGCAAGTTCTTCTCTAATTCCCGTCGCGTTTTCATGATCAGGTTCCTCAGTTTGTTCCTTTGTGTCTTGTAGGTGTTGAATTATTCAACATGTCCAAAGACGCAGTATTTTCTCCAAAATTTGTGCTTCCCGTTGATTTATTTCTTAAGGTTGCCATTTACCCACCCAAAGCGTTTGTCCAGTCTTACACTAGTCAGTGGGCCGTAGTTGTTGACGAGCTGCAGAAGAACATTCTTTAACAGTTCCCAGTCATCGTTGGCACTTCCCGTAAACAATGAGCTCCACTCGAGACCGGATAAGTCTGCGCTCATTTCATTGAAGTCGCCCCGCCAAACATTGCGTCTTTTTGGGTCTGGAGTATGCGAAATGGAGAATAACGAATAATCCCGCATAAGCACTACGTGATCACTTTGGCCAAGGGGCGGAATGGAGGTGGTCTCGTCTATGCTGTCTGATATTTTCGTAAAAACCAGATCCAGGCAGTTTGCTCTTTGTCCTTCTCGTCTCTCGTTGGGAAAATTACATGTTGTGTGAAGGACAGCTTTAATGCTTTGTTCAGCAGACGGCAATCGAATGTCGATTTTGGACCTGACGCTTGGAGGATGTTCCAGTTTGTTCCTGGTGCGTGGAAGTCGCCCATGATCATGATTTTAGGTCGACTGGAACATTTATCCAACTGGTCCAATAGTTGAGTGTCGGCGATTTGGTCTGTCCTAGGTGGGCGGTAGACAGTGAGGACATCGAGACACGGGGAACCGGTAGCCTTGATGGTCAACCAAAGAGCTTCCCTGACGCACGCAAACTTGGTGGTGTTTTCCGACATTGCCAGGCCCTCATTCACATACACAACCATACCACCACCCTGACGATGTTCCCTGTCCCTCCGATAAATTTGGTATCCAGGCAAGGCTACTTCGTTTTCGCCAATATTCTCGGACAGTCAGGTCTCGGTTACTGCTAAAACATCTGCAGACAGCTCGGCAAGGCAAAGTTTTAGTTCATCTAGTTTCGATATGAGGCTTTGGGCATTCGTGTACAAGCACCTCTGAAAATTGTTTTGAACAGTAAAGAGGAGGCTAGCTTACTTCTGTCCAGGAAAAGCAGCCTACGAAACTCTCACAAGGAAGTTTTTTTCAGCCGGACTATTCTCCAGCGGAACGTCTAAAACGCCGCGAATTGGTAACGGGGCTGAAGAGGAGACTTGCAGCGGGAGATAGCAACTTGGCCATTTTCAGGGGACGAGTGATACAGAGGAACGCGATGTTGATTTGGAACCAGCCAATCGTCATGATGGCGGCAGCAACATAATATTGGCAAACCCGAGACAAACCGAACGAAGCACTGTCGAATGTTGCAAACTAAAATTCTTTTACACCAATGCTCAGAGTCTGTTTTCCAAGCTTGACGAACTGAGAATACAGGTAGCCGATACTCTTCCCGATGTTATAGCAATAACAGAAACATGGCTGTCAGAGGACGTTGGTGATTGCGAGGTAGCATTAACAGGATACCATTTGTTTAGGAGAGACAGGAGAGGCCGCCGGGGTGGAGGAGTTGCCATGTATGTCAAGAGCAACTTAGCAGTGTGTGAGAGGACCGACAAGATTTCTAACGACACAGAGGCAATTTGGCTGATTATAAAGGCGCGGGGATCTCAGTCCCTCGAGATCGTAACTATCTACGGGCCCCCGTAGGCGGATCCCGATCCAGATACTTGTCTACTTGAAAGCATAAAAGAGATCGCCAGCCGACCAGACGCTGTTCTCACGGGGGATTTTAATGCACCCTGCATTCAATGGAGCTATATGCATGCGAAGTGCTCGATGAATATCTTCGATTACCATCTACTAAAGACAACCCTAGAAGCTCTACTCACGCAACGTGTCCTGTTTCCAACTAGAGCTCGTGGAGGGCAACAGGCCAGTTGTCTGGACCTCGTTTTTACCAAAGATCCTGACAGTATAGACGAGGTGTACTACCTACCCCCGCTCGGTCGAAGTGATCATGTAGTGCTTTTATGGGAGTACTTGCTGTATTCTGAACCGTGTACAAAATAAAATACGAGGCCAAATATATGGAAAGGGGACTTTCGTCAAATGAGAGCTGAGGCATCACAAATAGACTGGGATGTTCTCTTCTCCGGAAACGTTAACGAGGACTGGAATTTATTCAAGGATCGTTTACTGCATCTAATGAAGAACCACTGTCCCTTATCAAAGCCTAGGATATCCAACCGCCCTCAGTGGCTAACACGAGAACTCAAAAAGGAGATCATCAAGAAAGGAAGGTTATGGAAGAAATTTCGCAAGAACAACAACAATGCAGCGTTTACAGAATACAAAATTCAAAGAAATAAGGTGAAAAGCCTGATTTTCAGGAGGCGACGGGATTTTGAGAGTAATTTGCTCCACCGAGCCGTTAAAAATCCGAAACTGCTCTACAGCTATTTGCGGAAAAGCACACGTAACAGGAATCCCGTTCCAATTATGAGGGGTGATGACGGCTTGAAGATATCGGACAGTACAAATAAGGCTGAGCACTTTTCTCAATTTTTCCGATCCGTTTTCACAAGAGAAGCAGACTTTACCCCATCTAATTCTGAGAACATGGGGGATCCCACTATCGAAAATATGGTGCTTCGAGAAGAAGCGATTTTGGAAGAACTGAAAAGCTTGAAGGAATGTAAATCTCCCAGTCCGGACGAGATCCCAGCAAAGCTGCTCTTTGAGCTTGCCCAAGAGCTGGCCAAGCCACTATCCCTTCTGTGCCAAAAATCGTTTGATGCTGGAATTCTTCCCACAGACTGGAAGACGGCCCACATTACACCCCTTTACAAAAGCGGTAGTCGTGCTCTGGCGACAAACTACATACCCGTCAGTCTGACATCAATCTGCTGCAAAGTGATGGAGAAAACCATCAAAAAGGAGTTGATGGCTTACTTGGAAAGCCACAACCTCTTGTCCAATGCACAATATGGTTTCCGTAGGGGAAGATCATGTGTTACGAACTTGCTATACACATTGCGAAGTTTGACACGAGCACTGGACGCAAAACACACAGTGCATGTTGCCTATATTGATTTTCGGAAGGCGTTTGACAGTGTTCCGCATCAGCGTCTCTTACACAAGTTGAGAATCATGGGCATCGGTGGCAAACTTCTCAAATGGATCGAAAATTTCCTTGTCGGCCGCTCCCAAATTGTCTGCGTAGAACAACAGCAGTCAAGGTGCACATTCATAGAGAGAGGGGTCCCACAAGGCTCGGTGCTCGGACAAACCCTCTTTCTCTTGTTCATCAATGATTGTGTAGATGGGTTGGACTGTGATTGCGTCATGTTTGCAGACGACATAAAAATCTGGAAAGTCATCCAGAATGCTGCCGATGAGACCAACTTCCAAGAAAATCTTTGTCGATTGGACGAGTGGTCCCGCAGATGGCTCTTGTCCCTCAAATTGAACAAATGCACCATTCTGCGTCTCGGAAATCAGACCCCTAGTACGCGGCAATACCATCTGAACGGAATGCCACTCCGAGAGGCAGAAACTCAGAAAGATCTCGGAGTTTGGGTTGCAGACAGCCTAAAGCCTTCTACACAATGCTGTAAGGCGGCCAAGGCCGCAACCTCAATGCTATATGCCATCAAGCGGGCATTCGTAGTTTTCGATAAAGACTGCTTCACCAAAGTCTTCGGCACGTTTATAAGGCCCCATCTCGAATATGCAATTCAGGTCTGGAGACCGTGGACGCATCAGGATTACGATCTGCTCGAAAGGGTGCAGAGACGAGCAACAAAATTAATAAGAGGTCAAAGTGCACTGCCATACGAGATCCGCTTAACTAACCTTAATCTCTACCCTCTGAGTTATAGGCAGTTGCGCGGAGACATGATACAAACTTTCCGTATCGTGCGCGGCTTGGATTGCGCCCTTCGGCGCGATGACTTTTTCCAACTCGCCTCTACAACCCACCTCCGGGGACATCCCTTCAAGCTACGTGTGCCACAGGGTAGACTGAATGTGAGAAAATATTTCTTCTCCAACCGTGTCGTGGAACCGTGGAATAACCTGCCCGAGACGGTTGTTATGTCTCAATCTGTGGAGGCATTTAAATGTCGCCTTGACAAATATATGCTGCAGCAACAAGCGGACTATGTGACTTTTTAGCCGTGTAACTAGTGACATATGTGAATCAATGTATACATTCACTTAATGCTGTAATTTCTTCACATTTTTGCTTGTTTCTCGATTTTTTAATGTACAAATAGGGAGTTCAAAGGCCTAAGCCTATTTCCCTCAAATACACTGACTGACTGACCTTAGTTTTAAACCAGCCGAGTTTCCCATTGCATTTGTTACTGTTGTGAGCATTACTCCGTTATCTCGAACGCCATGTTCTCTGTGCTGATGGGTTCCATTTATATGCGTTGCTTCAGTCAGATCACTGGACATTACGCGCTTACTTGTGTTGCCGCCTTGAGCAGGTGGTTCAACGAAGGTATCTGTGTTAGCTGATTAGCTGTCGTCGTTCTTAGTATTACAGGCTGGTTCAACTGAAACGGCATATATTTCCGAACTACCTTCCCCTTGAAGATAGCCAGATTGTGTTCGTCACCCTTCAGTCTTGATTTTAACTCCAAGACAAGTTCCCGGCGTTTCAGCCGTTCCGCTGATGAATAGTCCGCTTGGAAAAAACCTGTTTGTGTGTACTTCTGAGGTCGGTTTTTTAAGTGAGGATCAACTTGATTTGCTCTTTGTTCTCCAGCATAATTTTGAGAGGGCGAGGTGGTAGTGCTGCTGTCCTGTCTTCACTCCCTCTTCCTATCCGGAATGCCTTCAGAACCTTTATTTCCATGTCTATCTGAAGTAACTGGTTCAGTAGACCGTGAAAAGAAGCAAGGTCCTCCGAGACACGGTCTTCAGGTCTGACTGCATTCGATTTCGACAAGCCGAGAATAACCAGACACTGCTGGCGATCACGGTCCTCTTTACTTTTTCTTTCCGGCGAATTCGCTGCATGTGAGCGAGAACGATTTACGGAGTCGTCGCTTGGACGCACACTTTTGCTGTCTACCGACTGTCCTGAGCACCTAAACAGGGCTGGTTGTGACTTTAGACTCCTGTCATGGCGTTTCCCTCTCCCCCCTACCCACGGGTTCGTTTCTTCGTATTTAGATACGTGCTCTGTTGGGCGCTCGGGGTGGTTGCGAGAACAAGAGTTCAACAGTAGACTGGATGACCCAGTTATATCGTCTCCAGGCAAAAGGGAAATCCCATCACTTACAGCAAAAGGCTGAGGCGAGATGGCTTCCGCGCCAGGTATTTTTCGTGACATCGCTTAAGACATCTTGCGGCTGCTTCGTTTTCGTTGTCCTGTTGTTACCGGCGTCTGCGGTTTTAGCTACTGGGTTGCAACCCGTGTTTGAAGGTGCCCCCAAGGAGATATTTTTTCGCATCTTTGCGTTTTGCTCTTCGTTTTTGGAACTCTAACACTGGAGACATTCTTTTCATCTAGGGTCTGTTTAATGAGCGTCCTTAAATCAACAAGCTCCTTTTCGAGTTGTTCTACTTTGATTTGGATATATGCGCACCCAAAACAAGGCTTGCCTTCGTATCTCACACTTTTTCCGGTAATTACGCTTTTGGCAGGCTTTGCTGATCGTTGGCTGGAAGTGGAGGTAGGGCGAAAACAGGTTATGCATGCGAAGGCCATCTCACCAGACTTACCTTCGAACGAGGTGCCGTCGCTGGCCGTACTATTACAGTTAGATTGCTGATACTCCATAAACTTCGATATGATATAATAGGTATAATTTCGCTTTTGATGTTATAACTAATACATCGGATTGTTTATGACTGACTGAAGTGAGTATTCAAAACTCAATAAGCGAAAAATACTTAAAACCTGATAAATTTTATGGAATTTAATCAGAAACGACTTAGCCCTTTGTAGATCTCCTAAGACTTCAATAACTGCAGACCTTGAAAGCTTTTAAGCGATTGTTTTTCTAGGCTGTAAAACCGCGAGTTGGTTGCATATTCAGTCGGACCGTGCTGATAAACAAATTGCACTTGATTCAGTTACCTGGCGAATTTCAACGCGCAAAAATATTCCAAAAATGTACAAAGCAATTCCGTACGTACGGTTCCAGTATCAATGTCAGAGACGGTAACTGTAAAGTGGTAATCAAGTCAAAATAGTACCAGTTGGAGCGCACAATAATTCATTTGTGCTCAGTCGGTCTTTGATTTTTCCTGACTGTTGCATGACTGTTTGTATGATAATGTTGCATACTGAAGAGGCCGGAGGTTTGCGAGTAGCCCTCTTGGCTTTGATGAAGGCGTTTCGATTTGCTTCGCAGATGGGTACGCCATTCGCCACCTCTCTTTCCCTGACCGGTCTCTTTCGAGCGATGTCCAACCTGAACTCTGGGTTGATGGACAATCGCCTAAGAGCATTTTCAAAGTTTTCTAGCAACCTCGTTTTGCTACTCCAGATCGGCGAGGACCCGTAGCGAAATCTCCGCAGAAGGGTGGTTTTGTTAGGCCAATGTCGTTGATTTTCACGGGCTTACTGCTCCATCCATTTGCAGTTGTCTCAGCATGGCGTGAATGCTGAGGATCCCGGTCCGTTCGAGGACTTAAGTGTCCGGGATCCTGTCCTGCCATCTCAGCCTCAGTATTATGAGGGGGTAGCTGGGATGGAAGGAGTTCAGCTTGCTTTACTGGAGTGCACGATCCAGGCCGCCACTCCACACAGAAGTATCGTCAAGACGACGGCCTTGTGCATCTTTGCTTTGCTGTTAACTTGAAGGCCGTGGCGATTCCACACGGTGGTTTGCAGGCGGCCGAAAGTCAAGCTGGATTTGGAGAGCCGACGGTCAACTTTCTTGTCGCTGTTTGTAGGAACGCATGAAATAGGGAAGAGGAGAGAATGGAAAGGGAAAAAGATGAAAACTAATAACAAGTACAAAAGGTCAGTATTTCATTGGTTGTCTACTTAAATTTGACACAGCAGAAAGTCTGTCAGACACGAAGATGACCAGGCTGTCTACAGCTGGCTGTCCAGTGTAATTATATAGCACAAAATCGAAAGTTTTTGTCCCTCGTCAACTTCTGTGGATAAGTGCCAAGGGATTTCCGATAGGTTTGGGATCAGGGCTGTTGACAGAGATAAAAATCGACCGGAGGCCATATGCAGACAGGCCAGATGTTATCTAAAAATTAAGACTAAAAGTGCAGGCGTTATCATGTTCATACCTCTTTAGGGCGATGGACAGGGGCATTATCGTGCAACATTATGGTATTCATCCAGCGGCGATGGAGGTCTTTACAATCGCAAATCGTTCACAATGTTGACGTAAACCTTGTTGCCGGTGGTATCCGTAGTCGACCGCCAGGCTGGCTGCCCGCCGAATTTGATAGGCATCCAAACCTTAACTGCCGAATGTTCAAGAAGGTTGCCGTCAGCACTGTATATTCTTTTGGAACGTTTTTCCACATATGACTATCTGGGTAAACAACCGCCGGTCACACCACACATTCACTCACTCCCTACCTCCTCCTCCACCACCATCACCCCACCAGAAATCAACACTCACACACCTCATGCACGCAACGGCCACCTTCCACGCAACTGGGAAGTCTGCATCTTGACTCGGTCCCCATGCGGCTTCGGCTGCACGGGTGACTTGAGTCCGAGACTATCCCGACACGTCAAGCGTCGTGGATAGGAAGGTTGCTGATTGACGCCCGCTCTCGGTTCACGCAGTTCGTCGCGTTGTGTGTGTGTGTGTGTTGTGTGGAGCGGCGGACTGGTGGGCTGGGGACGGGCTGAAACAGCACCTTCCACGGCACTCAAGCAAGTGAGAGACACGCCGTTCAACCCCCGTTGTGTGAAATCCTGGTGTTTGTGTGTGTATGGGGGGCCAGGTCGGGCTGTGGCGCGCGCAGGCATGGTCAGTCGACCATGTCAGCCACCGCGCCCATTCCCCACTCCAGTCTACTGACCGGCTCGGACAGCGGCTGCGGTGTGGAAATGGGAAGGGAGAGTGAGGTCGACGACTCAGCGCACTTTCTCCTCACTATAAACAATCTGACGCGCTTGAAGCTATCACGGTGCGCTAAGAGCCGTGGCTTGGAAGGTTGCCAACTGACGGGATAACTTGGACCTCCTCCTTGACCGGTGGTGGTCTGAGAGTCAGGCTGCAATGATTCCTTTTTAATGTGGCCTTTTTGGCACTCCCATCACAGTGTGGGATCCGAGCCAGGCGTTGGCGGCACGCCCAGCTGCGGCTTCGGCCGTGCCAGCCTCCAAATCTCTGTTGTGTTGGTTGAAATCCTGGTCATTTTTTGTGTGGACCAGGGGGTGTGGTGGAACGCCAAGGTGAGGATCCGTCCGAGCCATCCACCTGCGGCCTCCCTCGTCTCCGGTCTTCTTGACTCTGTCTTGACACCGGGCTCAGGCGGGGGAGGAGGAGGAGGAGAGAGTGTAGGTAGATGCAGCGCAAGTCTAC